AAGCCGCTCTCTACTAAACACTCTGTGGTGCCTTAGTATTTCAACGCATATATCCACGCCTCTTCACTCATTTGATTCCATTAATAATGCGAGCGGGTCTATTAAAGGCGGCGCGCTTATATAAGTATCTCAGGAAAGTAGATTCACGGATCTTCCTCCGTTTTATGTCCATACTACACATATAACAGAGTGATGAACAGAAATAGCAATGTTTCACTCTTCTATTTTATCTCCTCTCTCCCTCTCTCTTAATCATGTCTCCTCCCTCGTCCTCTCTCTCTCTCTCTCTCCTCTCTCCCAGCTCCGTCCTGCACAGAGAGGGCGGGAAGCAGCCGTCTCTCGCGCTCTGGAGCGCCCCTACAGGCGGGAAGCGGCACGTTTTCCGCCACTGTGGGAGCAGTGATGGCAGGGGGAAGTTACAAAATGGAGACTATAGTGGTGAAATACAGTGATATTGTTTATATATATATTTATTATTATGGCAGTTATACAACAGGGGCAGTCCTTACAACAGGGGCAGTCATTTACAACAGCCAATCAGAATCAAGCATTCTTCAAACGAAGTAGAATAATTGATGTTACATGATGGAAACTTTGAACTCCGATATCTTCATACAGCATCAGTTATCTATGTATTTATATCTGTATAGTTATATTATGTCTCTTTCTTCATAACTGGAGAATACAGCATTATAAACATCACTGATAGAAACATTTACTTAGTAAAACGTTCCCTGTCAGTGTTTTTTAATGTGATATATAATGTTATAGATTAATTTAGCTGCTGTATTAAAGGTTGAGCTCTGTTTTCATATACTGGTGGTCCGTTTAAGCAGCGACGCCTCATTAAATTTGTATTTAGTCCAGTGTTTGTCGTCACTCTCAGACTCTTCTTGTGTGTGAGAGTTTAATTCAGGATAAATCTGCCCTCCTGGTGTCTGAGCTCCTCCAGACTCAGTCCACATCGCACAGGAACCTTTTGGACCCGTCGGCGACGACACGGCGAGCTGCGGGACGACACGGCGCTGACTGCACATAATAAGCTGCTCAATTATCCGTACGGACAGATGGTGCGGCGGAGGTGAAGCCGGCCGTGGGATCGCCGCGTGTAGTCACACATTAACCACTGATTCAACTTCACCTTTGAGCCCTCAGCCCCCCCGGGCGGCGGCCACGTGACGCTGCGTCAGCTGGGCAGGAGCAGGAAGTAACCCGACAACCCTCGCCACCTCCTCCTCCTCCTCCTCGCATGACTTAATCTGAGTCAGTCATGAGATTATCCGCGGGGCTTATTGGTGTTATTGCTCTGGATGTGGCTCGGTGCATTTCAGAGAGCCGCAGAATTCATTTCACTTAACGTGGCGTTTGTGTGAGCAGCGATGCTTTTAGAGGCAGCGGCACGGCGCCGACTGACGACCCTGACCTGCTTAAAATCGTCCAATGGCGGCGCAGACATGTATATCCCTGGTTTTCTGACACAGTGTGGTTTTTTACACAGTTTAACCTATTTGTAAATCCAGACAGCTGAGTTTTTTAGATGGATTTTCTTGTTTCCAGGCAGCCGCTGGTCACCAAACCCCCTTGTTAATCAATTATTATTAAAATGAGATATTAATGAGCGTGAACGTTCTCGATCGGGATGAGCGAGTTCACCCGTATCTGTTCGGATCGACTGAAATCGAGTTCACTGATAAAAATAAACATCTTAGTGATAAAATTTAAAGTAAAATGATAACTTCCCTCACTGTGGATCAGCAGCCTTCAGTATTGATCGTCTGTTAGTCAATCTCTTCTGGACGTTGCGATCACAACAGTTACACTAATGTTCACTTCCTCCTATAATTTAAATGCAAAAAGTGCCTAAAAACAACTATTTTTTTATAAGAACTGCTGTGAAATCAGACATTTTAACCCCCAAAGTACGGATATATTTATGTGTTATACTTCTGTTATTAAAGTACATTATAGTTTCAGCTGCTCGATCCCAACTCTTGACCTTAAACAGTTTAACATTTGATTTGAGACGATGAGAAAAACGTGGCCTTCAGACTTTTTACGCCGACGATATAATCATTTATTAACTCTTTATCTTATCTGAGTTTGATTTGATAAGATTTGACCTACAAACAGCCGCCAACACATTTTGGGTCGAATGTTGCTCTCGCACCTGATTGGTTCCCTGAAGCATGTGACATCACGTTGTTCCTCACGAAGCCCCGCCCACTTCAAACCAGCCAGAAAACCACAGAAACG